AGCCATTTTAGCCTAACCAATCGTACAGGTACTGTTATATATTTTCATCTGATAAAATTCCATTTGTTTCGCGTGATAGCAATAACTGGTTCTCACAAACCTTCGGGTAATCATTGTTTGTTCGCTTAGTATGCTTGTTAACCTCGACCGTTTGAGAAAACTGGCTGATATAGTGTTATTCCCTCGGGGTGAAGCTATTATGTGCATATTATTCCATCATCTGCATGCGGAAATCTATTTATAGTTCAAAAAATACTTATCATTTTCCGAATCGAATTTATTCTCTCTATTTTGTTGAATGTATTGTTGGAAAACCCATTGTGTAGATTCCTATCCATAGAAATCTCCATGCGCTGTAGAAGCAAGCTGCTGGTTTTGCGGGGGTATGGACACCAAGGTCATTTCGTTTTTAGTTGTGCTCTGTTCCTCCCCTCCCTCATTTTATCTCACCCAACAGATAAAAGTCCTTATTTTGGATTGGGAACCAGCAGTGTTCTGAACACCAGCAAATTTTGACATGAGTTCTGCAATATAGACAGTTTTGTACCACAATTGGATTGACACAAATTTGAAATCAAACAAGGACGATGTATAAATATATTAAATTCGATGGTGAATGCAAACGAAAAGAGATTAACTTACCGAAAAAATCAAAGTATTTCGCATATACTATCGGTTCATCCTCTGGCAAGAAAAGAGTACATTCATAGCGATGACGTCCGCCAGGGAAATAACTGGGAAACGTGAAACTGTCCACGATGTCGAATTGGAGGAAAGCAGGAGCATCCAACAGAGACAAGAGGGGTCTACTCAAACTGGCCGGCAATTCTGATTTGGACACACAAGTAACTGTTTCGTTTGGTTTGAAGTACGGTTTATTTGGTTCCAGAGTTAAATTGATCGACACTTCTCACATGAATTGGGGAGGTAAGCCAATTATCGGGAGTTATCCGTTGGGATCGAGGGTGATAAACATCAGCCACAGTTAAAATGTTTTATCTGATTACTCGTGATTGATAAGGTTTCCTGTTAAAAACATGTAAACCTTCCATCGTTCCATTTATAATGTATACCTTGTGTGCATTTATACACCTACAAGAAGCTTGACCAAATTCACTCCTTATTCCAATGATTACTCAGTTTTGATAACAACGTCACAGATAAACGATTAGGAAGGTGACAGGTGATCTTCAAATCTCCCAGTCATTTTCCATTCGATTCTAAACATCTGCTGGAGGCTATCTGTTTTGAGTTGATTTCGAAGGCTTCAAATTCAGGCTACGCACAGTCAGTAGTTCATTCAGCCAATCATTATCGCAAGGAGCATCGTCACTGAGTTTTGAATTCGTCAAAACTCACAAGTGGAACACGCTCGGCCCCGTCATCACTATAGAACCGACAGGAAGTTCATCATCTTAGAACCGATATGATCAGATTTAATTCATATATATATATATGTACGGATTTGAGGGAGATTTTCCAGCTGGTAAACAAAACTAGCTAAAATTCGAATTGACAAAAAAGTTGATCTTCGGTGCATCATTCATTAGCCAAATACAAAACTCTTTTGTGGGGCGCCAAATGGTATGAGTCCGGGAAACAGCAAAAGTGATGTCAAATTTATGTTAGTATGCGTGTGCATCGGTACTATTGTAGGGGTGCATGGGAGGTCAAACCCTTCCGACAATATCATGTCGATTACGGAATCAATCGAATGCACAAACGATTTCATACTTTGTAACAGGCCTTCTATCACTCTGTTTATGTCTGGCCCAAGGCATATCCAGAGCTCTGACTGACCGTTTTTGAGTGAAAAGGCTGAATGTAGTTCAACCGACTCGTGAGCACTTCGGCGGTTGACAGTAAGCGATGTTTGGCTCACTCTGATGAACGTATAGATGGGTCTGACCGATTCACTCACTATTTGACGTTGTTTGTTTGCTGCCGAAAGAAGCGTGATTGCTGCCCCTCCCTCGCCTCTAGTTCTCAACAATCCGAAAACTAAACCAGCTCGGATAGTATTCTCAAATGCGCTCGGCGAAGCATCGGTTGCTCTAGTGACTTCTGCATTAGCATTTGCGTTCTTTAATATTCCCACAGATCCGTACAAAATGTTCCTTCATTAAAGTTGTTTAAACATTATCTGCAATTGTTCTTCGATTAACAATGAGCGTGCTAGAATTAATTTCAAAGCTTTCCATACCAAGATATATTATTATGCAGAAAAAACATCGTTAGGTTGCGGCTAAGCTACTTCAGTTTCTTTACAAGTAAAACTGGAGTATGATTCCAAACCATTTCTGGTTCATCATTTTGAGACCAAGTATCACGAATAAAAACACAAAGCGGATACTTTTGGTATTCTAGGACCGAAACAGGAGACAACCCGAGGGAGAAAGAGCTGAACTGAAGACAAGAATTCTTTCACAATTTCATCAGAATGTTTCCAATTAATGCATGAGATGTTTGTTTCGCGATCCTGGCTGACATAAACCTACCTAGGTAGAAATAAAAGGGAATGCATGCAATGATACGTATTTCTATACTTCACGGTACCAGTAATTTGCAAAGACCAGAAATAACTAGTTGGTAGTGATACTATAGAAATGAGAATCACAAGCTGCCCTGCACATATGATACCTAATTGAATCAGGAATTCTCTCATTGTTAAAGTTCTTTTCCATAAACCGAGATATTCAGGAACCACGTCATTTGAATGGTCAACAATTTTTGTGTTTATCGACTCGCAGTTTGTCCAGTAGAATTGACCTTCGAATAATTTAGTATTTCGAGTAACATCTGCGTAGTCCAGTTGTAACATGCATCTTATTCTTTTTGGCTGCTATCCCTCACCTTTGGAAACATACATCGCGTCACACTGCTCTTTCAAGGATGTGCGATAATGACTGCGAAACATAACAGACGATGACTTTTTGAGAGGTGGCTTCCTAAAGAACGGTCAATCAAAAGCCATGATAACTCACCCACACCAATAATTGAATTCAATTATGTAGCAGATACAAAAGATCTCTTCTGCTACATTAGGTATCAGTCTTTAATATCATTTTTAGCCTATTTCACGTCCTGGTAGCCGATGTAATGATAATGATGGGCGACCAATAAAATTAGTAAAACACAACAGCCTAATCCGCCAGCACATTCAATTCGGTAGATGTGGATCACGGACAGTTTGAGGCAGCACAGAAGGAATTATTATTGAACTGTGATGGTCGGATTAGAGGATAAAAAGGGGAAACAAACTCATTCTGGGTCTTCATTAACTAGTCAAATACAGCACGACTAGCTAGATAATTCAAGTTGAAAATAGGTTAGAAAGTAAAGCGGAAGTCATGAGAGGATGGATTAAAAGGCGGCTTTACAGTGATATATGAGAGTTTAATGATAATTATTCTGATCTTTATCAATAACGGTTTATTGGTCTTCTTGATAACTATCCGGGTTGGCGACGAATCGTCAGGGCAGTGTGAGAGCTTCAATAATTTGCTTTGGAGTGTGTAGAGTGGGTTGTTTAGTCGAATCGTGCTAGTTCATTTGACGATTAGTAGACTACGGGGTGATGGTTGTGTGTAAATACAAAATTAATATGCTTTCAGTTTCAGTTTACTTCAGATTTTAAAACCACTAAGCATGCACTTTCATGTGCCGGTTTTCGTTGGTCTTTAGGCCGCCTATTGGGATAAAAGAGCAGAATGAAGACTGGAATGTTGAGAGCAAATTTAAGCAGAGAATAGAGAATTGCTATAGAGTTGGGTTGCAAGGATAATGAATAGATGCCCGAGCGCCACTGCTTGCGACACTCAGCTATATCACTCAACCTCTCAAACCATCGGTTACCGTGATGTCGGGGGCCCATCCAGAGGGCCTAACGGGACCTGTGTGACTTAGATTCCTGGTTAGGGTTTTCATACCGACAGATCATGTTTTCACACCATGTTTTACGCCATGATTTTAGTTTGGAAGCCAAATACCTCGCCCACCCTGGCACAAGTTGCAGTGTTAGTTTTATCTGTGTGCAAACCAATGCGGGATGGTGCAAAACTCAGCGGGGAAAACAATTACGAAATACTCTTTAGCTAGTTTTGCGTACAAAATGCATAACCACACGGATATCATTGATTAGGAATCACCAAAATTATTTACGGAAATAGGTGCCGTTCAGTGACATGGATATTTCTCGGATAATCCTGTTTATGATCTACTTAATTCAAATGTGTTGGAAAGCAAATGATCATGTATGTTTTTCCGCTACTCCATCCACTCAATACTGTAAGAATTTACGAACTTCAGATTACGCATGGCCCATTTTGCACCGACAACCGGATGCCACAGTGGTATCACAATTGCATCAAATAGTCAGATATTAACCGTGTTCAAATTATGTAGAGAGAACGTTCGTTCGAGATTATCTCATTTCTATTAGAGCTTGAAAAACGTGAATATTAGTGCGCATGACCTGAAAGATGGAACAAAATATCCCGTGCTCAATTTAATTATCCTTATCGTTTTTTTCACACCAGTCGGAGTCCAGACTGCTTGCCAAACGAATCACAATGTAATTATCTTTACACAAATAGATGCCCTGATTGACTTGTTGGCGCGATATTGCAAGGTTGCCTAGACCAAAGCAAGAGATTGGGTAGTGATTGTGATGCAAATTGTTCAACATTTTAATTATTTTCCTTTGTTTTCTTCATAGATACTATATGCAGTCATATTGTTTTGTCTTTTAGTAGCATGAATAAAATGGCCTGCAAACAAGCCAGTGTGTGTATTTGATGGGATTGTTGAAACACCATAAATGTATACCATTGTTTCATGTGACACATCCTGATTTTTTTATTGCGCTGTATTGTTTTATATCTTCTAGACATATGTAAGTACTTAGGCTTGCTATTAACACAGTGAAGACTGATGGATTTCATTTATGCCTGAACCGTGCGTAAGACTAGCTCTAAGGGTTTCCAGTTTATCGTTGCTGCAACTAATTTGTTTTAACAAAGTTGCCTCGGTCAACTGACAATAGCGTGGAGTCAAATTCAAACAACTGGATGCAGTAAAAACAAAAGATATAAAGATGCAGGAATATAAAGATGGCACACGTTTTTAATTAAATAATCGTTGAACAATGAAATTCCATCATTTGGCATTCTATATTGGTATTGTAGTTATTGGATAGTCATTTACAAACAGACTACTGGAAAGTCACAGTAGTCAAATTGCAAACAGTAAAGTTTCAGTGATTGGGAAACGGAGTAAAATGTCGGCCAACATCAAGCTAGACTATAACTTACGTTTTATTTGTATCACAGTTTCTAAGCTTGCGTCGCCGTAGGAATGTCCCATATACAAAGCATCCACGAAGCATCTCACGAGAACAAACTGATCGGCAATCAGGACGTTCGAACCGATCCAAACCACTACTTGATCATCTTCAATCAATTGTCCATAGTTCTGTGAAATGATTTGTATTTGTTTCTTGAATTTTAATTCTCGTTCTCTATTTTCCATACACCTCAATGAGCTGTTGTATGCCATTATGCGTCTTTCGTTCGAGAACAGTGCGCTCACTTGTTTATCTGAACACCACGATCACAAAAGTAAGACGAAAAGGTGATTGAGTAGCAAAACAGAAGGTAATTTTGGTAGTCTTTGGGGGGATAAGTGACGAAAGAGAACAGAAACGCTAGCATGAGATAATACGGAATTAATACAGGTGAAGTCAATCAGGTAATTGTTCAAATGATTATTTTGGCAAATTCAAGTCGCATGGTGATTAATTCAACCACCCCGATGGAATTGGAACCCAAGCATGGAAGCCGCCTACGTTTATGTACAGCACAATCTCTACCAGCTGAGGTACGAGGCCACACCGATAGCACTGTTCTTTTCACAGTCAATGGATGCCATATGTCTCTATATTTTGGATAGGAAATTCGTATGGGAAAAGATCAGTGCTATCGGTGTGACTTGTAACTCCACTGGTAGATCACGCACTGTCCAAAAACGTAGGTAGCGTCCATGCATGGATCCCAATTCCAGGGAGGCTACTGAAATTTCACAACTTCAAAATAGTTTGTCATAAATCCTACAAAAAATACTCACACCCGTCCATAGGTTCTCCCAGTATTCCCGCCTGTGGGTGATGTGTAATATCCATCTTGAAATAGTTTTACGTTATTCAGCCAAAAATGTCACTACTATATTTACTCGCTTTAGACTTTTTATAAAGCTATTTATAACCGAAGCTTTACAATGCCACCCTACACGGACAATCCAATCGAAGTCAGCTGTTATGGAGAAAGAAGGCCAATTTCGCTTTAGAACCTTATCACACCATTGGAAATACCCCGCGCTAGATTTTGAAACACGTCATCTTTAAGCACGTCTTATCAAGCTATTTCCAGAGATGTGTCAGTAGTGAGGTAGGCTGGTCAAATTTTCCTATCTGATAAATGGCGGTTTTCAAGAACTAGTGGCACAATGCCATAAGGGAAGACTACGCATTGGCTGTGTGTACAATGCGGATACCTGCACTGCTGATAGCGTTGCGCCTTTCACTTACCCAAGCTTGGTTGACTAATTGCTTAAGTTGATGGGTAGCTCTGCTGTTCCACTCAGCATAGCCAAGTTCCTTCCCCTCCCTTGGAAAATGTTGATTCGGACGTAACAAGCTCATGTACTGACCAAGCGTAATGACACCTCGCATATCTGTGCGCTACCAAATTTGCTCGTAATAGCGTAGTGCGGACAGAAGTGGTTAACTTCGATTTTGCCAGCATTTATGGTTATCAAAGTCAAAGTCAAACTTTTATTATGGGAATAGCTTACAAGCAGGTGCTTCTCTTGTCCCATAGGATATTTACACAGATGAATCGTTACACATCGAAAAAGGAGTCACATAGAGATCCTGATAGGAGATAGAGAATGTAGGCTACAGTGAGTTTCCGTTTGCCTTTAGTGTATGAATGTGAGGTGTGCCAAGGTTTTGTCGAGTCTCTGCTTGAAAGATTCAATAATGGGTGCACAAGCGACATGAGATGGAAGGACGTTCCAAGATTGGCATACTCTGACTGCAAAAGACTAGCGCCGGCAATCCTGTCGACACTTG